CTGTAGCATTATCTCCTCTAGCATGTTAATCTTCCCTAAGAACAAGATTTCTCTATTTTCTAGGTATGTTTTCCAATATTTTCGATTATGGTTTCACAATGCATAACACCTTATCTTCTCTTAAAGATATTGTTGCTTTTTTAACTCAACAAATAAAGTTTCTCAAAGAAAATTGTTCAAGTTAAAGCGCTTGAAATGAATTTCTACCTAGTGTTAACATAAGGTATTGACTTAAATCAAGAGAACAAACATTGAATCAATAACATTATGGATCAAATAAGTGAATAATGTGACTTACAGTTGAAACGGCGAGCGAGGAAGGGCGTGAATCGGCCGGTGAAAAGTCGTGAACGGCGTGAACAGAGTGAACGACGTGAAACAGCGGCAAGGAGACGTAATCAAATTTCAACAAACTGCGTCATCTATGTTCATCAAACAAATCTGCAAATTCACAACAAAAATCATCATCAATGGCGGTCGAAAACGATGAAACACGAACGAACAGAACCACCGTGGTCGAAGACGACGACCAGAAACGGCAGAAACACGAACGGAAACCACCGCGGTCGAAGAGGACGACCGGAAACGGCGGTCGAAGAGGACGACCGGAAACGGCGGTCGAAGAACCTTCGGAAACGGCGGTCGAAACGGCGATCGAAAACCTTCGGAAACGGCGGTCAAAGAACCTTCGGAAACGGCGGTCGAAGAACCTTCAGAAACGGCGGTCGAAAACCTTCGGAAACGGCGGTCGATGATGGTGGCTGGGAAACGGCGATGGTTGGGTCGTGAGCGTGAGCGTACAGTGGAAAGGAGTGAAACGGCGGTGGTTGGGTCGTGAGCGTGAGCGTATAGTGGAAACGGCGGCCAAGGAATATTATACAGTGGAAATAATGAAATTTGGGAAATAAGGGTTTGGAAGCTATTACCTCGGTGGAAATGCATAACCGATGTAAGGGTTGGCTTAGTGGACAACTTATTACATCGGTGGATCCTTACAACCGATGTAAGGGTTTTGCACCTATTACATTGGTGCATCCTAATACCCGATGCAAGCTTTTTTTCTGACTTTTTTACATCGGTTTAAACTTCCACCGATGTAATAAGTTACGAAAAAATTAATTTATTCTTTAATTTATTTTTTATATTAATATCTGTTGTGAAGATATTACATCGATTTTTAGTCAACCGATGTAATATGTTGCATGTTTTTTATTAATATTTCTACTACCTTGTTTCTTATTTACAAAAATGCCACCGTATTTTTTTCTGAAAACTTTTTACATCGGTGGATGCGTTTGCCCGATGTAATAGGTAGCGAAATATATTTTTTTCCATATTTTTTATATCATTGCAAATAAATACCTGATGTAAAAAGTTTGTTAATTGTATTTTTTACATCATATATTTTGATACCCGATGTAAAAACCTTTTCTCAAATGTCTTTTTTTTAGTAGTGTAACCTGGTGTTGTTGAGGTGTCTAAAACAAAGACTCGAAGAAACCAAGGGAAACTAGAAGGATGAACTATAACACATTGTGGGAATATCGTACGACCCTTAATTGACGACCAAGGAAAACTTATTGTCGTCTTACCTACAACATTGAAGCCCTAATTTTGATGGAAGTTGAAGAGATGAGTTAGAAGACGACTCATCCTTTCTCATAAGAGGAAAACAACTGAGCAATTAGAGAAAATTGAATTCTTGAAAGAAAAAAGAACATTTGTCGCATTCACCAACACCGTCATCAAGCAGACCACAACCTCCAAATACAACCAACATGTCTAAGCAAGAGAATTCTAAACAGGAAATTTGATGCTGCAAAATATTGATATAAGAGAGAAAAATACCTGAAATAACAAATTGACAATAAATTAGAAAGAACTATACATAATATAAAGTGACATCGAAAAATAAGCCAATTTAATTTTAATTTTTATGCAACTCAAGAAAAAAGCTTACTGTATATTATGAAAACAAAATAATATACAATTTTATTTCATAGATGTGGTTCATATTTTTTCTTCAATAAAAATATGATAAATACATTAAAATATTTTTATGTAAAAATAGAAAGAAATTGTATATGTGTAAGAAAAAATTATACACTTAATAAAATACACTTAAAATTTTTTCTTATTTAAATAGATGCAACACAATGACTAATCAGAAGAAAAGATCACTCATTATAATATATTTACAAATATATTTACAAAAACAAAATGTAAAATAATATTTTATAGGAATAAAAATTAAAAGTGATATAATTTTTTATGAGATATTTGTAAATAAAAGTGATATACTAAATCCTGTTTTCTTTTGATGTGATGATTATGTTATCAATCATACAACTTAATAGTAGCACCAAATAACCAATAGAACCTAATTTTCCATAAATTACAACAAAGAAAGGCAGTACTCATCAATATAATAATTAATAAAAAGTAACATACGCCAAATTCTTGTTTAACATAGGATTATAATCTATTAATTTCCATATATCTATTCTAAATCCACTAATGAACCCTATCTTAAACTAAAAAATTGGCACAATTAGTGCAAATAATTTGGGAAAAGAAAGTATAATGTATAAGGGGGGTGTTTCCTACCTTCATACACGACTTTACTTCTTTCCCTTTCCAATCCCCCCTACTCCCACATTGGACAAAAAATATTTTTTAATAATAAAATGATCTGGTTGTGGGGCACAAAAGCATCTTTATCTTCTTTTTCACCCACACACACATATATATATATATATATATATATATATATATATATATATATATATATATATATATATATATATATATATATATATATATATATATATATATATATATATATATTGCTTACGTTATTGCATTCGTCACTTCTTTTTTTTATACTGTTTGTTGTTTCCATTCTATCTTCGTAGTTATTATTGGACCTCTTTGAAGGGTTGAATTGAAATTTAATACGTAACTCATAAAGTGTTCCAGTTCTTTATTTTTCTTTGAATAATCAAATATAAATAAAATTGAATATTTTTTTCACCTATTTATTTATACAAAATTTTCAAAATCATGTTTACATCACTAAAAAGGAAATAAGTCTACACCAATCATGATGGTGATATCTATTAAGTAAACAGATTAGGGATAAGTGACGGAGAAAAAATCCAAATGCTGATTCAAATTCTTGAAAAAGAAATATATTCAATTATTTATCTGATTTAATTAATTTATTTTTAATAGTGGCCATACCTTTTTCTCTTATTTTCTCCCTTTCTAGAAACCCTACGTATTCAATCTTTCTCTTTCAAGTTACATCTAGTTAGATATATATCCTGTTAATAAAATAATATATTTTTCTATGTTTTTATATTCTTAGTGGATCCACACTTGGCATTCTTTTTAAAGAAAATTATCCAAGCTGTCCACAATGAATTAATAGAAAATAAGTTTAGATTATGCCATTAAGACCCAGGTTAGACTGTTCTCTTACCTAATACAATTAGGTGTTTTGTTGTTACCATTATTAATCTTTTTAATTTGACTTGATGAAGAACCCTACATGCTTTAGATATTTAAATTTTAAAGTAATAGTAGTTGATGGTAAAACAGAGTTTAATATGTAGTACTAGTATTGAATTAAATAAAAAAAACACCCACGTATCGAAGACTTGGTCGTTTTTAGATTTTCTATGTAGAGCATAATCGCATATTATAGATAAAAAATGCTTTATATGTTTGTAAAAATATTAAAAGATCAACATGTATTATAGATTTTCTAATACCATGCTCTCACATGGTCACATGGGTATGTTTGTAGAAGCAAATCGCAAATAGTCAAATACACTACAGTGACTTGATGCCAAGATTCTTTATTTCATTCCTTTTATTTATATAATTTTTTTTTTTATTTCTTGCAAAAAATGAAAGAGTATAGAACAAGAAAAGAAATAGTCAAAGTGATAAGGAGACGTATAGCATATTGATTTAGTGCTTTAATTAGTGGAAATGAACACAAATGAGTTAAATTAGGGTTTATGATTGTGTTTGTGCCATGTCCATGGAACATAAAGAACCACAAAATCAAAATAAAAAATAAAAAAGAAGGATTGCCATTGTGCAATGACCTTAGAGCATAAAGAATCATAAAATAAAGATCAAAAAGAGGATTGTGTTTGTGCAATATCTTTTGAGCATGAAGAACCATAAAATCAAGATTAAAAGATTAAAAGAAGGGTTGTGTTCATGTACAATGTGTGTAATGCAACAATATCGATGAACGTACTTTTATTTTTATTTATTTTACACTTAATAAAAATGTGTTTTTAATTTTAATGTATTTTAGGCATTCTTTAAATGGAAGTTAATATATATATTCATATCTAAAGTTTTATGGACCAACTTAAATGCATAGAATGCTAGAATGACAACCTTAAATGCAGCTGAAAACTGAAAGTACAACAAAATAGCATTAATACCACCACCCAAAATAAGGCAAACTCACAGAAATAGAAAGAAAACAGCTGAGTTCAATTCAAACTTACACACCAAGCCACCCTTCACTACCAAAGACCAAGTCTTCTCTCTTTCTTAGACCAAATTCTACTTCCACTAGTAATTAAACCAAATAAATTTCACAACTTATCCATTAAGCTCAATATTTTATATAAATAATCTATAAATGAATATATGCATTTGAAAAAATTAATTAACCAAACTCAATATGATGAGATGATAACAACACACTTGGGAATTCATTAACTAGGTTAATTAAACTAAACAAAGATACAACATTGTTTTTAGTACTTCATAATAATAATAATAATAAAACAACGATGTAATATAAATTACATAGAAAAAGGAAATTCTACATTAATTTCCATAACCTTCCCTTTCCCCTAATTTACAATCATTTTCTACCTACTAACCCCAATATCCAATCCTAAACCCACAATGTGGGCAAAAAGGGGAAAAGTGAAAATTGAGGGACAATCTCGTCATTTCATCTCTTACATAACTTTCCACGACGATTCCAGAGTGGGAAAGCAGCTTGAGAAAGTTTCAAAATCTAAACCCGCAGAAACAAAACCACCATCGTCCTCTAATCCTCCAGTGTGCTGGCCAAACGAAAATGGGCCCAGCCCAGAATTCTCAGGCCCATCAGAGTTAGGCCCAACCATTGTTTGATGCGGTTGGTGCTGTTGTTGTTGTTGTTGACGGTTATGCTCAAGTAAAAACGCTGACGTGTCAAGCGTCGGCAAATAGCTTCCACCCTCCATAGAAAACCTTCCTCCTCCGGTAACCATTCTATGCGGCTCCGGCTTCACAATCGGTGCCATTGGAAAATTCGAACCACCACAGAATCTCGCGCCGGTAACTTGCTGCACCATCTCCCTAAAATTCGCAGGGTCCGCCGTGATGAACGTCGTTAACGACCTCTTCGAGGCACGCGACTTTCTCTTCGAGATCTTCCCGGCGGCGGCTAAACGCTGACGCTTCGGGGCGGAGTCCTGGTCTGAGCCGGAGAGGCTTGAAACTGTTGGTGTAGCGGTAGCGGTACCGGTACCGGCTGAATCGGTTTTAACGAGATTTAAGAAAGGTGAGAAAGCGTCTTCCGGTGAGGTGGAGAGTGTTTTGTGAAGAGCCTTGGTTAGGGTATCGGCGTCGCGAGCTATGTACTCGGCGAGCCACGTGTCAGCCACCGCCGGGCGAAACATCCACGGTTCAATGCCGGTGCCGGCTAGATTATCAGATGATGCCATAGAAGTTTCAATTGAAAGCGAAAAGAGTGAAATGAGTTTGGTATAGTAGTGAAATATAGAGAGTGAAATAAATGGGGGAAGAAAAAGGAAGGGGACAAAGGGTGATAAATAGGGCGGTGGAGGGTATTTTGGAGAGAGAGAAAAGTTAGAGAGAGAAAGAAAGCGCGTTGCTCGGGGGACGAGGAGACACGCGTCATTTTGTCCGTACTTGCGAGTGAGGTAAGCTTGATGTTGATGCTGAGCTTGGCGGACTCTCACCTTTTAATTTAACCCAACCATGGTTTTATCAAAAAATCAAATCAAATCAAACAACTCTAACGGTATTTTTTATTTTACTGTATTAACTAATCATAATTCAAATATATATAAAATATCTATTATAGTGATTCAAACTATGATCAAATATATCTTCCCTTCGTTACTTGTTATAATTATAGAAATGATTTTTTTAAAGTATTATAAAACTTGCATATTTTATTAATAAATTTAAAAATTATTTTTATGTTTATAATAAAAAGATAGAGGAGTATATTTTATTAATAATGATTTTGCTAACTTGTATTTTAATAATCCAAGTTAATGGTTATAGAAGAAGAAAAATTAAGTTGAATAAATTAATATTTATTGTGTTCTAACTACACAAGTTAATGAATCTAAAAGAAGATAAATTGACTAGAAAATATTACTAATGTTTATAGTTTAGATATTGACTTGAAAATATTATACACAAATTACTATCACAACAATTTATGAACATGAATATATATTTGGAATAAAAGTGGAATGTTTTTTTCAAATATATATAAAGCTGATAGTGTAAATGAATTAAATTTTAAAATAATGATATCAAAAGTTTGTTTGATATATATTTTATAATAAAATAATTTTAGTGATTACAATTCATACATGTTCTATCAAATTTATATCAAATTTGTTTCATATTAGAATCCAAATTAGATTTGAATTGCGGTGACAGACTTGATAGGTTAATATTTTAATTTTTAATTAGTTAAATGAGTCTAAAGGGGAGAAAATTGAAGTATAAAACATATGAGTGTATTTTAAGTCTTGTCGTGTTGTTATATTTCAAAATTGTCCTTTTAAGTATTTATAGTCAATTTATCTTTATTGATCGCTTTGCTATTTAAATATTAGTACTATTATATTTGTGTTACTAATTTGTTTTCTTTCATATATTTTGTTTAAATATAATGGGGTAAAATTAGAAGTTAGGGGTGTATTTTTTAATAAGGACTCATTGTTATTTTAGAATGGCCCATTAGGTACTAAGTCTCATGAGAGTTTTATTAGAATTTGATCGAAGTCAACTCTTTTTTGTTTATTTATCTTTTAATTCTTATTATTTTTTTCAACATATATTGGTTTTGGTTGACTAAAGTCAACATCTATTTATTCTATTACTATTAGTCATTATCTGCATTAATAATTATTTTTTTATTTATAAATTATTATTATTATTCTATTATTTTGAATTTATTGACCAATGGCCAACTAGGGTTGAAACCCTAGAATCACAGCAGCGGCGGTGTGTCCCTCTTCTTCCTCGATAAGCAACCCAAGTCCAGATAACACATATTATAGAGATCAAAAAAACCCAAATCCAGAAGAAAAAAAAAAACAAATCAAATCTTTTGGATTGAATTTACAATATAAATTTTGTCCGAATACAGACTACATTAATCGCATTCTAACCCTAATTCTAACAAAATAAAATCTTGCTAATTTTCAATCAATTTACAACAATCAAATCCCTAATTTGATTCAATTTACAATCAATCTAAAATTATAATTGCAAATCATACAAATAATTTCTTAATCTAACTCTAACCTAAGACTATAAATAAACCATAAAACTAATGAATTGGGATCGGAGATTGCAAGTCGATAATTGAAAGAAGAAGAAAAGAATCTGGAGAAAACCCTTGAAGGAATTCTCGTCGGTCGCTGTGGGATTCCTAACCAAAACGCTAAAAGCTCTTCATCGTTGAAGTATTAGAGTTTCATAACTGAAACTCTAAACCGTTTTGAGTTAGGCCGCCACCTTCGTAACCTACTATTGTACTCCAAAATTTTTCCTCTCATTTCTCAAGTAATCTCTCATAAGACTTCCATTGATTCAAGACTGCATAAGGTTTGATCAACTCAAGACACCTCCTCAAGCACTGATAACTAAAAATTAGGATTTGAGTTTGCACAAGGACAGATGGATTTTTAATGCCCCATATGACTTTCATGGATCATTTTGGACCCTCAAGATTGCTCATGTCAAGTTTCAAGTCTTGGATCACATTTTTGTTCAGTCAATTGATTAGTTGACCTAAAATCAGTTGTATTGGGAAAAAGTCAATTGTGGTCAACTTACAGTCAAACTTCATAATTTTTTATCCATGTCAACATCATGAACTCATATATATCATTTGATCAAGTTTGGTTCACAATTCCTCAAGAAATTTGATCAGATCATCAAAAGGGCAAAATGGTCAAAATTAGGGTTTTGACTAAGGAAGTCCAATTTTTGACTTTTGACCTAGAAAATGATTTACTGGTTTAGGTTATGATCTCAAGTATTCAAATGCATCATTTTGACCTAATGGCATGGCTCAAAATATTCCTCAAGATCAATTGGTTGATAGTTGAATTTCAGTCAACTGATGAAAAATCAATTGTACACTAAAAAGTCAAACTTTGACTTTTGATCAAGATCAAGCTTAAAAGATCACAATTCATCAAGACATGTCAAAATATGAAACTTGTTCATCAAGAAATCAAAAAGTCAAGGTTTCATTTTGAAAAGTCAAAATTTCTAAACTTAGAATTTTTTTCCAAGTGTTGAAAATTCATGTTTTTTCATAACTTTGTGCCAAATTTTCACCATTATGCAAGATGATTCAAAGGAAACTTCCAACATGAAAGTTGTAGATCTAAATGAGATCTAAAACATTGTAGAGCATAAATTTTTCTAGTAATTCTTGGATTTCAATTTATGATTTTGTGAAGACATGTTCATGAAACTTAAAAAATTTAGTGAAATTTTGCCCTAATTTAGGTAGGATTTTGACCTAACTTCATGGAAATTTTTCACATAGTTCCAAGATGAATCTTCAAAAATGTCAAACATAGAGGTTGTATAGGATGTTACAAGCTTTCCAAAATGTCTAAGAACTCATTGAGATCATACTTGAGCAAGGAGAATCGAAGGCAATAAGTTAGGGTTTCATTCTTGAATTACAAGTCATTTCTTGATGAACACATAATCCAATCTTAATGTTAGGCTGCATAATCTTACTTTGCAGGCCTTCTAACTCTTGTATATGTCCATAATTAATGGATTTCACAAACTTTTGAGTTGTAATCCAAGTGGTTTAAGAATTGTCCAATTTAAATTGCCATTTTGGGAAGAAAGTTAACAATGCCATTCTTGAAAAGCAAGCTTTATGCACAAAGTCAATTCTTGAGCCTCTCATTTGTACCATCTGATCGCACTCCATCTACAAAGTCAGAAGCAATTTTATTTAAAGCATAACCACTCTACAATAGTGTTGTACCCCAAAATTTGCCCTCCCATATTCTTCAAAGTTTGTCAAGAATCATCTTCAATTGGTTCAAGACTACTCAAGGGTTGCACAGTCCAAACATCCTCCTAAGCCAGTCAAAAACTAGGGTTTTGGTTCTTGCAAGGAAGTTGAGGTTTTCAAGGGCTCAATCAAATCATATAGGCCTATACACATTGTCAAGCATCTACATGCCAAGTTTCAAGGTTCACAGCATCAGATTGCACAGTCAAAAAGCCCTATTTGGTTCACAATCAACTGCAGGGGCAAAATGGTCATTTGGCAGTCAAAAGTCAAAAAAATTGGTCAACATCTTATTTTGAAGCCACAATCATCATTTGATCAAGTATTGATCATGATTCCACAAGAATGGCTCAAAAATCATCAAAGATGCAAAAGTTTCTATTTTTGGATAGTTGAAAAGTCAACTGTAACTTGACCAAGGCATAACTTTTTCATGGTTCATCAGAAAAATCCCATCCAATGCTCATTTTGAAGGGGATGACATTTCCTACAACTCATCTTCACATTCCAAGTCCAAGAAATGCTCTCACAAAAAGTTATCAATTTCTACATTATAGGTCAATTTCAAAAGTCAACAAAAAGGTACTTTAAGTCAAAGACCATAACTTGAGATTTGTAAATCAAAATGACATGGGACCAAAGGCATTGGTCAGAGGACTTCAAGACCTTTCCAAAATATCCAAGAACATGTTCATAGGATCAAAATTGAGCAAGATATGCATTGGAGAAGTTGGGAAATTTTTGGGAATTTGCAAAAGTCAACTTTGCCTAAAACACCTTGTTTTTGCTAATGGGCCTCAAATTCTTTCTTGAAACTTTGCCCAAGGCCTATGCACGACCCATTGAACTTAAATTGATTTATTTTCTTATTTTTAATTAATTAATTGAATTTTTATTAATATTAATTCATTTAATTCATTTAATTGTAGGAAAATTCAAAAGATATGGTTTTCAAATCTTTTTGTGATGCAAATGAACTCAAGACAAGCTGAAGATCTCGTGTACACATCAAGGGGACCAAAATATCCAATTTTAGCAAGTTTTGTCAATCAAAAATATGCAAAAAGATTTGATTGAAATCAAATATTGAAAACATTATTTCATGGATTCTTGGACAAAGATTGAACCCTAATTCCATTCTACTACATATACATAACCTAAACCTAATGCCTCACACGTACAAACTGCTGCAGAAAACCATATGCCATATTGAAAAAAAACCAAGAAAACTCAAAACTGTTTTCGGTGTTCTAGGGCAAACTAAGGACTTTTGTGGATCCAGATACATTGCTGGGAGTCTCCAGAATGCGTTGCAATCAAAACCAAGCTCCAAATCTCAAGAAACTTCCCAGAACAGATTCACGGTTTAGCTTTATTTCTCATAATCGAAAGTCATAATTCCTG